GAGAGCAGGTCCCCTCGGGTATCAGAGGGTCTGGGTGACAGAGTCTCTACCAAGGCCTCCACACGGGGCCTGGGCTGCTGCTGCTGTCTGGCAGCGTGGTGGGCCTGAGGGTGGAGCAGATTGGTAAGGAGCTGCTGGCTCTCTTGTCCTGATGGAGCTGCTGTTTCTGCTGCTGGAAGCCCCGCAGAGGAGTGACAGAGCCCTCTGTGATGGAGCCCTCTGTGTTGGAGCCGGCAGAGTAGCAGTGAGAGTAGCCTTGGCTGTAGTTTGTCTGACACAGGCCTGGTTGTAGCTGCTGTCTCAGGAAGTTCACAGTCATCTCCAGGATGTCAGCTTTCTCCAGTTTGGAGTTGGGCTCCTGCTTGTGGAACTCTTTCTCCAGGATAATCTTGAGCTGCTCTATGCAGCTGTTGATGCGATCTCTGCGCATTTTCTCCACAATAGGTTTTCTCAGCTGCAGAAGAGCAAAAACAACCAGGTAAGTACATGATTCAAGTCAGCAATAAACAATCAGATATTGGTACTATACAAGCTGATGCAAAACCATTACTCACTTTGATGTTGTCTTTCTCAGATATCCTGATGTGGTGAATAGAGGAGTAGTTGGTGGAGCAGGGTGCCATGTCTGCAAAGGCGAGGTTCAGTTCAGGTTTGTTCAGATGGCAGTGTGAGCTGTGGTGTCTCTGGAGGAGCCGCTCCTCATTTTATACTGGGAGATTAGCATAACAAAGCCATGTGGCTCAGGCCAGGCTGGGGTTCCCACACACTCACCGGTGGGATTCCTAGCACAACAATACAAGACACATTAATAACTCATAGATGTATCTGTGCATGGGCGTTTCCCAAGATAAGCAACAGGAAATTAACATTTTATCCAGTGTTCATCTGAGAATTTATCACTGGGTTAGTAATGGTCAGAATATGGTTTTTAAAACATGTGTAACAAGGAGGAATGCTACACAAAAAGTGAACATCTTCAAAGGGGGGGGTAACAGCAATTAAGGACCAAAAGCTCCAGTGCAATAAAGCAATATAAATTACAGGCTTTCATTTTCTCTTCAAAGAAAGGTTAAGCTCCTCAGAGGGGAAAGAAGCAATTCAGTGAACAAAAAGAAGAATTTGCACACATGAAATGTTATTTTTTTTTTGTAGAAAGTCTTGATCACATAATCATCACAGTCAGGATAAATGATGATTGAAACGAGGCGTCAAACAAGAGAGAAACGCCAAATCTGGAATGGAATCATCAAGGTCAAAAAAGAGTGATATCAACTGGCTGCAGGTGAAAAATTTCATTTTCCACCTGTTGCGTTTGTAACTACTGGCTGCTGCTCTTTGTCCATCCAGGCTCCCACAGTAAACTTCGACGTTTCCTGGTGGAAACACTGTCATAACAATCTGAGGAGAGACGCGGATCAAAGGCTGCTGCGGACTCGAGCCTCAGGTGTGAAACCCGGCAAGTGGCCACGCTCCGAGTCGGAGACGGCGCGTGGTGCGCACAGCACGACGCACTTTGCTGTTCCTCTCATTAACACCACACAACAAGGACAGCACACTTAACCCTTCTTTCATCCATTTTACAGAAAGAAGACAAAATGGCGCAAAGTGTGCTCAGTTAATACATTCATAGGAAATAGCTACAACAGAAAGGAGCAAAGATCAGAAAACATTTCTCATAACTGAAGCCCTACATGCTGGAGAACCACAGGTGTTATAGGCTACTACAGTGTGTGGGCTGGATGGGCCTGCAGACATATCAGGAATATAGATGGTCAGAAAGTTTTAAAAACCTTTGTAAATATCCCTGTTGTCTGGAGACGGTGTTGATGACAGGAGATGTATGAAAGTTATCCCTCACAGAGATTAAGTTGCCAACTTATTTCACTAAACCTATACTTTTTCTTTTTGAGAACTAAATTATTTTGGTACTTGGACATCAAGCATTGCATAACACTAACTTGTGGACATTTAATCTTAGTTACTTAGCTTTCATGTTTTGTGAACATTTACATTTTTTCAGAAACAGTTATGTGTGGTGAAACAGGTCACATTTGGATCATTGTTATTCTTAGTCACAGATTAGTGACAAGAGTCCTGCTGA